TGTGAGTAGTATTCACGTGAAGTGACAGTTGTGAATTCCAAAAATGACTGAGAGTTATCGGGGAAAAAATCTTGTTCTTTATAACATCAAACTCCACGATTTCAAGACCTTTCTGCAGCATAAATACAGCCTCTCATTAATTTCCTCATGTGAGACTCTGGCTAAAAACACAAGGTTGTCCAGCAAAAAATGTTTACTTGGATCAACTTTTGCCACAATACAATATGGTTGCAGGTCTATCCGGTAAGGGCTGCTGATGTTTCTATACGGATGGTAATGGATATGTTCAATCTTGCCATCAGTTAAGACAGAAGATGGAACGACTGTCACCGGTTGGGGGTGGTGCTGATTTGGGCTAAAGGGTTCCAAAGGTGTAGAGAAGTTCCTTTTGCATGTCGCTTTTGGCAAGTGTTATTGTTTGCACAAACTACACTTCTCTACAATTTTGCTATAGTACCTTATTTTAGAGTACTCTGGCTCACATATAATGCTTTGTATTGACTTTTGGTATCGGTGATTTGAGTGTGTGTAGTTTGTTCCTTATAATAGGGTTATTTATGTGTTGTTTTGTTCCAGGTGTCTAAATCCTTTATATTGTGGTGGAGCTGTTTGTGTTGGGTGCGCTTTATCTTATTTAGTTCAATTCATCTTCCGTATATTCCTTGATTAAATTTTTTTCTCTGATATTTGCACTTGATCTTTTTTGGTGGGGAATGTGGGTTCAGAACTGTGTTGAAGGTTGATGTGTATATGTATTTACATCATGATATGATAGTGTATAGTTGAAGCGTATGGGTGTGTGGAGTGATTTTGAAGATCTCGGATTTGCTATATGTCATTACAGATTAAAGAGGGGATTATTACAGCAGGGGCAGAGGCTTTTAGAAGTTTCTATGTTTAGTTTGTTCGGTTTTGTGCATGGACGCGTTGTGGTTACGTTCGGTCGGTGGTTTTTGGCAAGGAGAGTGCCGTTTCTCCTTAAGGGAGAAGCCGTGTTATTAATGCTGTTTGGAGGTGTAGGGTGTCAAGGTGAGCGTGATAGGATTTTTTCGTGTGGAGGTATTTTTTTAATTTAATGGAGTCGTTACTGTTGGCTATATATCGAAGTCTCTCTTATGGTAATTTTTTTATTGGTTTGTATGGAATGTGCATATCATTTTAGTATTTTTTGGTTTTAGCTTTGCACATAGTTTTATTTTGAGATCAATGTGATTTTTGTCTCTTCGTGGTGGTTGTTTGTGTTTGATTTTTTGCGTGTGTTTTTTCTGTGTGTCATAAGTGTGCGGGAGTAGCGTGCGTGCACGGCTTCTAATTCTTTGTTATCCTTTCATTCTACATTGCGTGATTGTCGTTTGCTCATCCATTTTTTCTTCTAGGATGTCACATCTCTAGACGAGTTCCGTTGGATTAATGGTGTTTTGGCCTTTGGCATCGATGAATGGTGTTTTATCTCTTATTGCTGTTTTGAACAATCAGATATATCATAGGAGTTATACAACTCTTTGTTTATAGTTGTGGATTGTGGACTGGCATGTTTATGGCTATGTGATGAAGTTGATTAGCATATTTGTTAAATACCTTCCAATTGCTTTTAGACCTTGTGATTGAGTTTATTTTTATTCTGTTTTTTTCCAGACCTTGGTTGTTTTTGTATACCCGAGCTGATTAGTCTCGTTACATTGATTATTTCATTTTGTTTTACCTGGTGTCCTATCTTTTGATTTTTCTTCTCCTTTCCAGCTGTTTTTGTCAGCGAGGTGTGTTGCATAAGCTTATTTCAATAATAGGGATGTGTTTAATTTTTTGGTTAAGAGGTTTTTGGGTAGTGTGGTGGATATGAAAACATGAGCATAGCAGGTTTCTGTATGTCATTTGGCTTCTCTTCTTGTTATTTGTGTTGTCCAGTGCAGCCTTTATATAATGGTAGGGTATTTCTTAAGCCAGGAACTTCTATGTCATTGGGATTTTTCTCTTTTTCTTTATTCGTTATAATGTCTTACATTCAGGTGTTACAGTTATAGGCAGCAAGGCTAGGGTCCACACTGATGACACGACCACGGAGGGGAGGAGTTATGCGCGATTTGTGTTCTGTAGTTTTTTCTAGATGAGTGGAATTTTGACGTATAACTTTAAAATAATTCTTCAAAAACACTTGTATAATATGAAGTGTTTTAGACTGTCAATGTACAGAGTGTTTTTTGCATTGTTTATAATGAATACAAAATTGGCTAATTTGTCAATGTCAATGTCTATTACGACATGAATGTTTGAGTGTAACTCTTTCCATTTTGGCTATTGAGATTCTGTGTATAGTAGTCCGTTCGGTTTAACTGTTCGTAGAATAGGAGTGTGTTGTGTCAGGTGTGTACATGTGTTTATTGTGGTGAGCATCAGTGTGCTACTGTTAAATTAGTAATATATTGCCTTTCCCTATATTACCTGGTGTTGTTCTCATACCTCCGTTACACTCTCAGCTTTTTTGTGTTGTCCTCTTCCTTTGTTTTTTTTGGATGTGTTGTGTTTGTTTTTTGTTTGTTGGTGTTTTTGTTTTTTTGTTTTTGGTTTGGTATGTTTTTTTTTTTTCTTGTGTTGTTTTGTTGTGTTTTTTGTGTTTGTGTGTGGTGGTTTGGTTTGTTTTTGTTTTTTTTGTGTGTTTGGGGTTTTTTTTTTTTGTTGGTGGGTTGATGTGTGTTGTGTGGTTTTGGTGGTTTTGTAGTTGTTAGTTGTTTTTTTGTTTTGTGGGGATTATTTGTAGGAGGTTTTTTGTTTTTTTTTTGGTTATGATTTTTTTTTGTTGTGGGGTGTTTTGGAGTGTTGTTTTGAGTTTTTGGGGATGGGGTGGGTGTGGTGGTTTGGTGGTTTAGTGTGTTGTTTTTGTGTTTGGTTGGTGGTGTGTTTATGTTTGATTTGGGGTTTGTTGGTTTGGTGAGGGTTGTGTTTGGTGTTGGTGGTGGTTGTTGGTGTGGTTGGTTGTGGTGCTTTTTTTGGGAGGGGGGATTGGGTGCTGTTGTGTGGGTTCGTTTTGTTAGTTTTTTTTTGGGGTGTGTGGGGGGGTTTTTGGGGGGTGTTTGGTTTTGGTTTTTTTTTTTTTTGTGTTGGTTGTTGTTGTTTTTTTTTGTTTTTTGTTTGTGTTGTGTGTTTGTTTTTGTTTGTTTTATGTTTGTGTGTTTGTGGTTTTTTTGTTGTTTTGTTTTGTTTTTTTTTTTGATTGTGTTGGGTTGGGTGTTTTTTGTTTTGTTGATGGCTTTTTGTTGCTGTGTGGGGGTTTTGAGTGTTTTTTTTGTGTTGTTGCTTTTTTTTTGATGTGTTTAGGTGTGTGGTTGTGTGTTTGTCATGTTCCCCCGATTGTTTTTGTTCCCCTCCCTCCCCACTTTCTCCTCCCTCTCCACTTTCTCCTCCCTCTCATTCACACCTCCATTATTTTCCCCTCTGCTTCGTGTCTGGGGGTCCACAGAGAAAGATGCTTCTGTTTCTGAATGAAAGCTGCTCTCAGTCCAAAACAACATTGTCAGGACAAGGCAGACACAGAGCAGAAGTTAATGCACTTTGTCAGCACTGGCAGGCTTCTGAGCCAAGAGCTATTAACTCTGAGAGGGAAAGGCATTTCCTCCTTGTAAATGCCATATTAAATTATTATTATTTTATTTGGTAACAGGGAAAAGCCCATCGGGCTATATTGCTCAAGGTGAGCGGGGAATTGTAAATGGAGAGTCAGAGTTTTTCTAAAGGCCACCAAAAGAGGGTGGGTTTTGGGGGGTAAGGGAGTTGAAAAATAAAGTGAGGACTGGCGTCACGGTAACTCGATGTGATCATCGAGTTGAAAAATCTGAGTGTCACACCTTTAAATAATGTTTTACCCAATTTCTCAGTGATATAATATAGACTACAACTCAATTTGCACCTCACCTCCACTGGCTTTGAACTTAGGGCCGTTCCTTGGCGTAAAAGCTGCGCCGTCTTCAGCATACATGTTCTACCATAGAGACTCCTTCTGCCAAATGAAAATGTGAATGAACAGTGGGGCACAGCCAACAGAGGTGCGGCCTCAAAGCCTGCCTGGCTGTTCCTGCAGGTTGATAGGGCCCAGAGGGCTTGTGGTTTGGCCTCGCTGGACGGGCATCTGTGTAAAAGATACCTGGGCCAAAATGGCTGACCGGGATATTCTCAACGTTTAGGTGACTGCGCCCCCCTTTTTACAGCGAAGCAGCTGCCAAAAAGGGTCCATAGTGTGCAACGTGATACACTGTAAATTTTACACGGAAGAAATCCATGTCATTAAGGCTGTTCATATAGCAGAGGAATCAGACCCATGACATGGCCATTATCACCGCTTTTATTACTAGCATAGTATCTAGCCTCTAGCCACAATTAGTTTGATTAACTCTGCGAACAGATATAAAGCACTGCAGAGGAAAAGATTTATAGAAGCTAAATTGACTGAATTGATTGCTAAACGCCTGTCAAGCTTTCTGTTAATGCGCTGCACATTTGCAGTTTACAATGATGAAGGCAGATTTACCATTCAAAATTCTCGGTACATTTTAGAATAAAAAGAATAAAAAATTACATACAAGGAAGCACACATACAAGTTGGAGGTGATATTTATGGTTTAATGTATGTATTTTCACTACAGCAATAAACTGTGCTACCATGGTAACGCTGGATTTCTACTGAAAAATGTAGGCTAGTTTGCTGGGCATGCTGGCGTTTGCGGCTTAAACACTGCTAAACCCATTCCTTACACTTCTGCTCTTGTGTTTTTGGTTTTGGAGAGGCTACAAAAAAAAAGCAGTATGTTGCTGCCAAAACTTCTCACGTTTCCTCAGTTATCTTACTGCTCCTGCTGTTCTTCTCAAACAGGTAAACCTACAGGCTATGGCCCCAATGCACGGCGGTCACGTGGCATTGTGGACGAGTGCTGCTTCCAAAGCTGTGAGCTGCGGCGCCTGGAGATGTACTGTGCACCTGCCAAGACTGGCAAGGCTGCTCGCTCTGTGCGTGCACAGCGCCACACAGACATGCCAAGAGCACCTAAGGTTAGTACCGCAGGGCACAAAGTGGACAAGGGCACAGAGCGTAGGACAGCACAGCAGCCAGACAAGACAAAAAACAAGAAGGTGAGCACAGCACCAAACAGATACACTCTTAAAAAAAAAAAATCAATTATCAGGAAATGTAGAAGTAAAAAAGAGAATAGGATTGATGTTTTGGTAGCTTTTGCAGAGCATGTACATAATATCTTGACAATTCTAAAAAAATTGTTAAACATTTTGGAAAATATGCTTATTTGCTTTCTTGCCAAGAGAAGATTGATACCACCGATACCCTCATAACTGTTTATTCAGTATGAAATTAAAGCAAGCAGATGGATACACAGGAATCAACTAGCCTAGCTCTGCCCAGCCAAGAAATAATCTTGCGCATAAACCACAAATTGTAATTTTTGCATTTAGTTTTCTAGACGTATTAAACAGACAAGATTTAGCGTGTTAATTAGTGAGCTTTAGGGTGCTGGTAGATAAATTTTGTTGCCTTAGGGCAAAGCCAGGCTAGCTAAAGCTCACTGATTAAAAAAATGCAAAAAAATCCTGAGCACTTTCTGTTGCTAGTGTTTCCACCTTGTTCCAGTCTTTATGCTAAGCTAAGCTAACCGGCTCCATATTCAATGTACAGAGAGTGGTCTCAAACTTCTCATCTCATTAAGCACATTATCCAAATTGTTGTACAGTTACATTAAGAGGTCAGTAGGTTCAAGTTTGCAAGCAACTTACTGTACTGTATAGCAAGATCGATTAATACATCCAATTTAAGTGGCTTTGTTTTCCTCCCACAGAGACCTTTACCTGGACATAGTCATTCATCCTTCAAGGTATGCATGCCATCTCATTTTATTATGCCATATAAACCTCTATAAACCAAATCTACACTGACATTCTCAAGTTTCAGAAGTAGAACATTTATTTTAAAATGAGAGATTCGTGTCAACAATCTCGGTTCTGAAATCTTAATCTCCTGGCCAAAGAAAGAAAGCGTGAGATCTAAATACAGACTCTTTTTCATCCTCGAGTTGCCAACCTGCAGGAGAGTGTGATCCTTTTAAGATTTGACCGTGTGCTTTTTGCCCTTCTCTCAAAAAAGAAAACCATTAGCAAGAGAAGGAACTAAGTGGTTTTTGTGGTAGACCCAGTGGCACTCCCACTCCCCAGGCAGAACCTCCACTCTGCTACTGTACATTATGTGCTAAAATTCTCGCGTCTCACCATAAAAGACTGACACATGCAAGGTCCGGAGATGAAGCAATGTAACTACGTGTGCAGTGGCTTAATTTGTGAATTGTAAAACTAAAATTTGAATTCTAAATTTCTAATTCTAATAATAAAATAATTCTAATAATTACACAAGTAAAAAAAATACCAAGGATAGATTTCTAAATTTCCGTTTGACCTTAACAGAGTGATTACCACCACGACTAAGTTTTATTTCCACCATCCAAATGAAGATACAGATTTTGGACTTAAATCTATCCTACAGCTCGGTTGCTCCCTTTATCCTGTATCCCCTGTATCTCAGCTATTAACCTAAAGTGTGTTTCTCTTTTGTTGCAGGAAGTGCATCAGAAAAACTCAAGTCGAGGCAACACGGGGGGCAGGAATTACCGAATGTAGGGAACGAGCGAATGGACAAATGCCCAGCGACTTGGGAAGAGAGAAGGGAGTGGCCTTACCTGGTACCCCTGTGGAATGGTTCACTGTAAAACAAAACAGAGAGGAGGCTAACAATGGTCTGAAAAGCTCTTCAAAATGATTGAAACCTGAGAGCTAAGTCGTGTTTAAGGGTTTGATGAGGGATCTCGTGATTATTTTATACACTGCACCATTCCATATCGGGAGGAATTCTTTGTTAATGCAATGTAACAGACTAGTTTAGCTGCTGAGACACGAACAAGAGCTTATTATACCTCCATGTGTGAGCTGCAGCATCCCCTGGCTCCAGGAAAGGTGGGGACGGATCTGGGCAGCAGCCAATCAGAGAGCGGCAGGCTGTGTTTGAGAATGAGTGGTCCACCCTGTTCCTTGAACTTTGCGGAGGTAAATCCTTTTTACTCTGAGAGAGTGGGTTCATTCACTCTTTTGGTAAGACAGAATACTTTGTCACCGGTCACATATAACAGTTACTACCCCAGTTAAAATCTGTTTATCTTACCTTCAGAGTTTGTTTTTATGCACCATGCATTATTGAGGATATTTTTAATAAGTGAAAACAAGGTTTGCTTTAAAGGACAAAGACCAGATGGTTCATTATCAGACTTTAAAACATTGTTGTAGTTATTTTACCTTGAGCCCAAGTCAAATCCCTACTTCTCACTGACTGAAGGCAGCGTTCTTTCTAAGTGGAGTCCCTTGAAGGTTTGAGTCCAATCCAAATCCCTCCTAAGCCTCAGGAAGTGTTGAGAATATGAGGACTGAGTCTACAATCCAAACACTTCTATAACAACAGATCAAGCACCATTAAAGGGGATTTTAAGGAACAGTAAGTACTACAAAAACAAGATTGTGCTTCTGCGTGTTTTAAAAAAACAGAGAAACAGATTTACCAGAAGCTAAATTGAATTAGAGTCTTTTGGACAGTCTTTGCATGGTGCTTGTTTGGTTGTCAGAAATGGGTCATTCAGTGGATTCAAAGTGCATTTGGCATAAGTCAGTGGAATAAGTCAAATAGCGACAATCGGGCAAAATGTTTGTCGTCTGCATCCTTTTCACATGTCACCACCGTTGCCAGATCAGATTTTTGTCAACAATCCAGGCACCGGCGATCAACATTTGAGTCTGAGTGGAGGCCTGCGTTCAAGGTTATGAAAGTTGAGTCGCAAATCAACAAGCGCCTCTCTAAGAGACCCACCAGAATCAGCTAGTCAAACATTTTTCTTATTCTCTTGAAGAAGTAACATGTTCCCAAATCTGTCAACCCCGACGTTTAAAGCAAAAGACGGAGGCTCTAACAATAGATGGGACGTTTAGTGATTGATCAATCTTGGCTTGTTATATTTTGTTAGTTTAGGGAGGCCGAGAACTTTGCTACTTAATTTGTCACTTGGACTGCATATCCTGCCATCATGGCGAGAGTACAAGAAAAATCCACAGCATCCATCGCAAAGTCCACCGAAGAAACGCGCAGGTTACATGATTTGGTAAATATTACAAAGTAAAATGACAAGCCCACCTTGCAGATACGGCACACATATAACAGTACACAAACACGCAGACAATGCACCCACAGTGTAAATGAGAGTTGTGTAACTGTGAGCAAGGGTTAAGCACACACAAACAGTTCTGAGAAGTCCTTGCATGAGGACTGAAAGTCATGGCTGTTTGTTCAAGCCTCCATTTGGATTTACATGTCATTTTATCTCACAAACCACCCAAAACGTCTCATCTCTGGCTCTGCCTCCTCTGCCTGTGTATAATCAAACAGTATTCCCATTTATGTTAACCTATGCATTACTATCATTCATTGTACATGATGGTTTCATATAACAAAACTGTATTAAGAATCCTATCCACTGTATAATGGTGCTATTTTGTAGTTTGTTACTTGCAAGAGATGGCTAAGACAGACAGATGGCAGGGCTTACATTGGAGGTCTTCCCTTTTGCACAGCCTTGTGGCCACCATTTTAATAGTGTTTTTATTTGTAAGCTGTTTCAATAAGGTAGTTGTGTAAGCGAGTAAATGTATCTGTGTGAAATCTGTGAATGCATGGAGATAAAAAAAAAAGAAAAGAAAAAGAAAATACAATGTTGTGGTCCCAAGAAGGCAAAATGCTATTTTTTCTACTGTTTTTGAATTATTTTCTCAATATAGATCCCTTATGCCAAATAACTTGACAAAAGTACTGTGAACTGTGATTCTTCCAATTGTATTGAGATTGTTAAAATTCATGGTGTGCTTTTGTCTGTCCTGAGATGTGTGTGTACATGCACTTCACTGGAAGCCAAGGTATTATTAAAAACACTTAACGCGAGACTACGTAACCTTTGCTGAACAGCGGCCACTGTGGCTACAAGTGGTAATTACAGGATAATGGCATATTAAATTTGCCTTCATTTCCCAAGATTCTCTTGAGTCAGATGCTTTAAAGACACCGTTATGTTTATCTGTATATCTGTGACATGCTAAAATGTAGAAAAGAGCCATAATGTCAGCAAAGTTACTATTACTAATATCACACAGCATCCAGCTTAAATGAATAGTTTAGATTTTGGGGAAATACACCTCTTCACTTTCATAACCCCTTCTTATCCTTTTGTTAAATATAAAGCAAGCAGGAAGCAGCCAGTTAGCTTAGCTTAGCATTAAAAGTAGGAACAAGAGGAATCACCTGTCCTGGCTCTGTCCGAAGTTAACAAAATCCTCCTACCAGCACCTCTAAAGCTCACAAATTACCATTAATAAGGGGCATAAAACCATATTGCATCGTTTTTACATCTTTTATCTTTAAAAAAAAAAAAACTGAACTAGATGTGTGTTAATATGTGAGGTCTAGAGGTGCTTGTATACAGACTTTTTTATCCTTCGGACAGAGCCAAGGATAGCAGTTTCATCCTGTTTCCAGTCTTTATGCTAGGCTAATCTAACTGGCTCCTGGCTGTAGCACGATATTTAGCGTACAAATATGAGAGCATTATCAATATTCTCGTCTAACTTTTGGTAAAAATGCAAAATGAACTTATTTCCCTAGATCTCGAACTGTTCCTTCTGAGTTTGCTAACATTAGCCTGCATTAAGCTACCGGCTGTAGTGATAAAACCCCTGAGTGAATTGAATAGAGCAAGGGTGCGTTTTGTTGGGAATGAATTCAAATTTTCATTTGCGAGAGAAAGATTGTATTATTCCCTTTTAAAAGTTGCATAGTCTCGCTTTAAGAATAAGCCAGGAGTTTAATTTATTTCGACTAAAACATTTGTTAGCAGCTCTCTGATTTAAAGCTTATTTTCAATGATTAATTTAAGTGTGTTTTTATCTGTAACGATCAAGGTTTTAAAATGGGAATTTGCATATGTACTTTGGTGTCTATTCTTTACAAATTCTCATCTCAGTCGACCTGGCGGCTGAAATGAAAAAGAAGCTGGTTGGAGAACAACTCCTGTCCTCCCAGATCTTCATATATACAGTGCAAACCAAAGACTTTTTAATGAGAAGAAAGCCTCACTAAGCATTATTATGTCATGAACTAAACCCAGATCATTAAATATCAATTGATATCATCCTTGTCTGAACTGCACTGCAGCTACAATACACCCTTCACACACTGTCTCTGGTACCTGAAATACAGCTTGTGTAATAGATAGTAAAGTGAGCCAGACTAAACTCCTTCAGTGTATCTGGTATATTTGGAGCAGCGATAAAGAAAGCTACAGCAAGTGACTTCAAATCATGTGAATCATTCAAAAAATGTCTGTCATTTGTGTGAAATAATCAATAAAGCCTCAAATGTGGGAGTTAGAGAGCCATTCATGACTCTGAGGTGTTTAATGAGAAAATGTCATTTCCTGAAGCTCACTGTCCAAGAAACTGTTTGATTACAGCGCTGTTATTTATGGTGCTCGATTGCCTTCTGTAGAAAAAAATACTGACAAATTGTTCACCATTCCTGCTGAATAAACCACTTGTCAACATCACCGAAATGGCTGGAGAGTTTCTTTATGCAGCATGCACATACACTTATAAAACCTAAGGGGAAACATCATCCTGTAAAGGCATCACTCCCTCTATTACGCAACATCACACTGGTAAACTCTATATGGCTTTTATGAGGAACCCTGTGGATTCAGACACATAAACAACAGATAATTACAAAGCAGACGCACAAATCTTTTAAGGCATTTCGGCTGTAGATGAAGCCGTAACTCAAGCTGAGGCTTTGTGCATCGTGCAGTATGAAACTGAGCATACTGTGTGTGCTGAAGTGATACTTCCTAAGAGGTGGCAGGGTCTGCCAAAGTAAACAGAGCGGGGCGTGGTGCTCCCTGAGGCCAGAGCTGCATGTTCAGCTCTTTGGAGGATGCTTGCAGTGACAGCAGCGAGCTCTCGCTCACTCACTGTCAGCACTTTTTAAATGGATGTATATGGGACAACAATCAAACCCTGATAAATTGGCTCTCTGGCCGGCGCTCAGCAGACGGCGGAGATCAAAATGTGGAGCAGCAGGGAAGGTTGGCGAGGTCCCGGTCATCCCGGCCATCCTGGATGTTATTTCATCCGTCTCTATGACTAATACAGAATCAATTATCTCACCCTAATGGCCCAATTGCAGGCTGCAAGCTTGCAAGATTTAGAGTTCAAATAAATCAGAGAGAAATTGTTTGCAGAGAGGCCTGGGCAGTGACCAAGCCATAACAAATAAGCCAATTATCAAAGTGAATACAGATATACAGTATCATCCAGTTGTAATTATTGTAAAATATAAACGTCATGGTGTCTTTAAAATGCTCTGTTTATCCCCTTATTTGTGCTAATTTCAGATTACATGGTGACCCAAGTAGTGCAACACAAAGATGTTTGAATAACCTCAAGAACCAGGATGGTTCTGGAAAGAACACAATCCGTTCCCATTGATCTGCGTGCACTCAGGATCCAGTGCATCTAAGGACACAGATTTTGGACTGAGCCCTGAAACACAATCTCTCCACACTCTTCAACTCCTCATCTTAAGCACACAATTGTCTTTTGAATGACCTTGTGGTCTGTTTTACTACACTCACCAATTTTACTACTTATTCTATTGGTTGTTTTACAGGAAAAGTGGTTGTAAGGCTTCATCAGTCTTCAACCATTCATTTTTTTTTCCAATAGGACACACAGGATTTCACTTTGCTGGGTTTAACTTTTTGCTCCTGCTGTTGTCAACTCAGCATTTGTTGTCTCTAATCCCAAATATTCTCACATCCTGAGGGTAGCATCCAGTCTTGGCTAGTGATGAGTTGATCATGACAAATTTACAAGTAGCCTTGTGTCACATTTTATTGTAATCGTGAGCCAAGGCCAAATGTAAAAGAGTCCAACAAGTGCAGTGTAAGGCTCTCGCTACAACGGGAATGTTAGCAGCTACATTAAAGCACGTGTAAAGAAAAAAAAGTGTCTAAACCATTGGAGGAGATTCTCCCTCTTTCTCAATTTCAGTCGACAGTGGAAATTCACTGAGGCTTGATTATAGCAGGAGAGAGTGTTGGCTCAGCTGTGTGCTTTAAGAACCCATGATGTCAGAGACTTATTTTCCTTGGAGAGACTCTCATCAGCTGCATTGTTCCAGGAAACCATGGTCTGTTCTCTGGGCAACAAAAAAATCCTGCCCAAAATGCACCCCCCTCCCCTTTTTTTGCACCCGCATCTCTGCTGAATGCAGCACGCCGGCCTCTGGCACAACTAAACTGTCTAGCAGCACAAACACTTACAAGATATCAAACATCACGCATTGGAGCATCAGTGCATCACATTTCCCTGGAACCGGAGCTGTTCCCCCTCTGCTGCGACAGTGTTTGTTTTTTCTTTCCTTTATATTTTCTATTAGAAGACGAGTGTCGGCGATGAAAGGCAGCGTGTTAATACAGGACAAGGAAATAATGTGTTGGCCCCCGGAGGATTATAAAACAATGCTGCTACTGATGTCATAGGGCCCAGACTTCTGAGGTCTCTTTATGCACAAAGCTGTAGGCGGTGTGATTGAAATACAGCACCGGCAACTGACAGGTGATGCAAGCAACTGACAGAGCTGATGAAAAAACTACTCCGCAGCTTCCTGGAGTTCAAAATTTAAACCACGCACGAGGCCGAATCGAATCTGGTCACAATTATGGCTGCTTACAAACAGGACCCACTGTAAATCAGCCACAGCACAGTCAGTAGTTGAATAAACTTTACTGGCATTGGTTAAAGATTTGACGAGCTGTGTTGTGGAAACATAAAAATTTAGTAAATAATGTTCATGGATACCCACCGAATCACATCTGGTCCTCATAAAATTATTTGACTCTTGGCTTTATTGCTAATGCTCTTTGTTAGAGAATTATGGTAATGATTTCTTAGAAATTCAGACCAGGGAAAAATCACAGTTACAAGATAAAGACTTTCACCACAGTTTAGAGTTCGCTGAATCTTCCCAGTGAGGGCCAAGGAAGCCGAAAGAGCCCAGAGGCTTTGGATCAGGTGTACTTGCATTGATTTGCAGTGTGTCTCCTGTCCATACAGTACAGCCTATCTCGGGAGAAATATGGGAAAAGGGAGGGAGAGATTATCAGAAAGAGAGAAAGAGCGAGAAAGGTTACAACAACAGAGCATGAAGCTCACAAGTTCAGTTGTGCTTCTGCTGGAACGGCTGTGCCCCTGTGGACAAGTTCAGTCCTTCAGTAGAAGTCCTCGCCCTCCAACAATAATACTTACAAAATAAAGGCTGACCGCTCCAAGTAAAATCACTTCAGCTGAGTTCAATAGCTATTATTCATGTCCTGGTTCTCCATCCTCTGTGCTACGGCTCCTGTGATGTTAATAAGGTAAGCCTTTTGAGCTGAGAAGAAGCCTGCAAGGAGCTAAGTCAACATGAAGGCCCTTTGGTTTTTCCTTGCCTCCGGCTTTTTATGATCGCCACTTTGGTGCAGAGGCTTGTCGATCAAATGCTTCCAAGACAGGGGGCGGCCTATATCTCACGTGGTGGAGCTGGTGCCCCACGTACAGAGGCTAAGTCCTTGTTGCAGTGGCCAACCTGTGGCCCTTTGCTGCGTGTCGTCCCCTCTCTCTCCTTACCCTACTTGTCAATCAGCTGTCCTGTCCAATAAAGGCAAAAAGCCCAAAAACATATATATAGAAAAGAAATGCTGCCATTTGAATGAGTGACTGATGAATATCTGTTGTGAAGAGCAGGTCTGGAGGAGTTTGGTTCAGGGTGAGTTCAGGTGTGAGCCCTTTGCACTACCTGCAGCAAAACGGGGCTCTCCTGCTGTCCTTACGTATTAAAAGGTCCAGTTTGTTACATTTAGGAGAATCTATTGGAAGAAATGGAATATAATATTCATAACTGTTTTCATCAGTGTATAATCTCATGAATATAGGAATTGTTATGTTTTTGTTACCTTAGAATGAGCTGCTTTTATCTACAGACTCTGTGAGTCAATGAAGTCCGCATTGTTTCTACAGTAGCCCAAAACGGACAAACCAAGAACTGGCTCTAGAGACAGCCTTCTTATGAGTTTCACTGCCACCCTAGTTTCTCCTACACACTTCAGAGTCGTTCTTATTCCCAGGTCGTCAAAATACAGACGCGAGTCGTTTTCAGTTGGTTGACATCTGCAACTTCACTGCTAGATGCCACTAAATCCTGTAGACTGGACCTTTCCGTTTCCAACAACTTCTTGTTAGCTTCGAAATTCACAATTGGGAACAAAACATGAAAAGCTTGTTAACCGCAGACCGTATTTCAGGCATCTAACCAAAAACCATTAAAAACAAACACTGATTTTGAGGCGAGGGAACTGGAAATACTACTAATTCTACAACGTCATTAGTCTCACCAGTGGCTCCACTTTGGAGGTTGTCATACCTGTTATTGACCTCTGTGGATGGTCCATCATGGGATTTTTCTCAGCCATGTGCAGCCACTGATGCCATTCAAAGAAAATGACTCAGTATTACCACTCCATGTCGGTCTTTGTCCTGTTACCTGCTGGGTTCATTTCAGCATGTGGATTTTGAAGGAAACTACACACAATTCATTCCTGCCCTTTGACCTCCTGTGAGCCTTCTTGACACCACTCTGTAATGTGGTGGGAATTACAGCCCTCCACATTTCACCTCTTCATCCATTTGAATTCAACACATCTCTAAACAGACAAAATAAAGCTATTAATCTTTTTCTTTTAGGAAGGAACATCTATTAATGGAATTACAGCTCATTCGCTGTGACCTTTAAACTTCCTGTAACCTTCCACCTTTAAGATATGACACAATGCTTTTACATTTAACAGTCTTAAGTTGTAAGCAACCTCCCTGAATATATAAGACGGCTGAGTCACAGTCACAGTCACAACAGTTGTTAGGCGAGAGAAGCTCGACTGTAGAACTGCATACTGTAGAAACCATGATTTCCGTCTACTCTGTCCTGTATACTCTAGTGCTGTTCTCTGAGCTGAGCAGCCACTTGGTCACTGTGGCCATGCCTGCAAGTCAAACAGAAGACAGTGTACCAGAACAAGAAGGTCTGGGTTTAATATTAGGTACCGAGCCCATGACTGAACCCGCTCTGGTTCCATCTGTGTACAGACGAAGCCGCGTGATGGACGACAACAGCGAAGAAGATGGGAACCCTAAAATCATCATCATCTCTGTAAGTGTCACGTTGCAATTGTTTAAGACTTTTTTTTAAAGCTGTTTAAAGGGTAACTAATAACTGTATTTATGGTTAATAAATCACTTACTATTGCTTTATAGATCAGTTAAGCCATTAATAAGGAAAATGGTTGGGTTTCCTTTAGTTCATCAGGTATCCTTTTCACAACATGGTGAGCCAGATGTTTTTCTTACTTATGGCTTATAACCAATTTATAAGCATTAATAAATGATTTATTAACAATTATAATGCCATTACATACAACTTATGAACACTTTATGAAGGGCGACTTATTATAAAGCTAAAAACTTTTTAAACATAGACTAGAGCTGAACAATTTATCATTTTCATATATCAGTTTTAAAAATATGTGATTTCAAATGGCAAGAATTTAAATATAACTTACATATAACTAACATGTGGCCACACATGACACAGACAAAAATGAGATTCTCAGATTTTTAAGTCCCTAAAATTATGAAAACAGGACAAACACTAATCTTAATTCATGCCAGAAATCATGAAGTGTTCAGATATTTAATCTTAAATTGTTACCACTTTATCACTGAGGTCAAAGCATTGCAAAGGCAACAAGAGGAAGCAGGAACTTTCATTTGTGTTGATTGCTGCGGTCCTTGTGGTGTTTCCACCGCCTTGTTTCATTGATTGTTAAGGGGAATTTGACCCGGTGGCAGGAATTAAGAATAACTATATAGAAATAGCCAATCTTCTTTCTAATGGTCTTGTTTGTTCATGTAGATCAGTGGTTCCCCAACCTTGTTCATTTAGTAAACTAACGACCCCTAAGTGACATATTTTATGGATACTTATTTATTATATTCAAAACAGTACAATTAACTCAAATAATGAACTCGGTAATGGCAAGAAGCAGATTATTTCTTGTTTAGAGAAATTTTTATAAGATTTTCTGTCTGTATGATTGATTTTGTAAATCATTTTTAACAATCATACAGACTTGATTGATGGTGTTTTTTTTGTCCCTGGTGCTTGGCCATTGTTCTATTGGACAATTTAATTTACCATTTACCATGACCAAATGCTGAGATAAAGACCTACTTTGTATATATTTTAATTTAGATTTGTTACACAACTTAAAATCAATAAGGCCTCGCAACCTCCCCATGAAGCTTTGGCGGCCCCCAGTGGAGGTCCTGCCCCCCAGGTTGGGAAATACCAACCTGGTAAAAACTGCGTTGTGTTTTTCACAAAAACAATGTGCGTTACAGTGTATAAAGATATATAACAGTTTCCATTTGAACTGCTTCCTACCAAAGAAATAGTCCCTGTGAAAACTGTTGGCAGCTGTTTATTGCCCAGCGTGCCCAGGACACTGGGTTATGGATGGAGAGGTTGCCAATTTTCTTGTTGTTATTTGGGTGAACCAACCCTTTGAAGTTGTTAGCCCAACAACAAATTCATCCAATCCAAAGTTAGCAGCCTTTTGGATTACTCTCAGTTAATTTATCCCAAATGAACGCATTTGGCTAGTCTCTGTTTGCAGTCATTGAACTCTGCCAATGACAGTCATGCATCATAACCATTCATTGTATGAGATTTCTTTCTTTAAACAACCGCAGCAAACCATAGTTCAACATCAACAAAGAGCACATTATGTCCATCCTGTGTCTGAACATTTGACCCTTTTCAATTGGTCACCGTCCTCGTGTCTACTGTTAAGTCAATATTTCATACACATCTATGAAAATCTTTTACGGCAGCGCTGGAAAACCGGGAAATACTATTAGCTGAAAAGGTCAAATGATCACAAGCCTATAAAGATTTATAGGAATCACAGTGGGAGGAATGATGATATATCTGTGTTCCCTCAAACGTTTGGCTGCGATGTGTAAAGAGTTTATCTGGCGGCTGCGTCTCCTGTGTGTCATGAACATGGTGGTTATCTCTGCGGTAATGGGGAACAGGCAGCCATGATGGAGAGAACAAAGCCATCTGGGTGAACCAGGGCAGTGGAAGAAAACGGGCCACTGTGATGTAGTAAAAAAATGGGGAAACACATTTCTTCCATTTGGGGTTGGATCAGCTGGTAAAGACAGATCCAACACCTGTGCTGGAAGGGAAAAAAGATAATCTATTGAAATCTGTTGCAAATTTGCTGCAACTATCCAGAGTTCAGATTTCCTGCAGTATGGAAATGTGTGTGTGGTCTCGTGGTGTCACATGTAATCACTGATCAATACTGTGTTTTCAGGACATGAGGCTCAAAGGACACAGTATTCGTGGACTGAACCCGATCTTCACCCGGAGCCTTCCTCTGCTCACAGACCGAAGCTCGAGCCACACTCCCGCTGAGCAGAGTTTGAAAATTGATCGCAGAAACACCGACCTTGACAGTAAGTATCTGGAAACACATGTTTATGTATTGATGCTAAAATAAACGTTGAGTAAAATATACCAGACCACTAAAGTTTGGGAACCACTACTGTATGATATCAGCATACAGTAGTGGTTCCCAAACTTTTTCCTTAAGGGACCCATTGTTCTATCATTTGGTGGATCACAGAAGTGATTTATGGACATTCATATTATATTCAGTGAATAACAATAACCGTACAGACCAACTGATAAACTGAAGAATGAACCCAAATAGCAAACGCAATAACTGCAGGTTTGTGCAAAATGAGTAATTTGGATCAATTATTTCCTGTGAATATTGGATCAGAGATGAGTTTTCCTGATATTTTAACAACTTTTTATACTTTTATCTCTGCTTTTAACAGTTACTGTACTTTCTAAACATTTATGTTTACTAATGCAAATGTTCTTTTTGTCTCCTTCTAGTGCTGCGGTGTATGATAGGAAGAGTGTACCGACCCTGCTGGGAAGTATAAAGGTTCCCCCCCGTGCTGCCGTCCTCCCTTGAATGTGCTGTAAAAATATCTTCTTTATGTGTTATACTGAAATGCATTTCCTTGAGTGCAGAAAAATGAGTGCAGAAAAATATAAAATAAAAGTTTATTTAAAAGGAAAAGTGTGCATCATATTTACAGAGTTAATTTCACTGTGGAATTTTACAGGTTAAATAGATAAACTATACAACTAGTGATTAAATACATTCGTCTTGAAAAATCCAGACTCCCAATGATCTGCTATCAAAGTCAACTATTCACATTGCAGCCACATTTTCCACACAGCTGAATGGGTAAATTGGTGTGAATTAATTGCTTAAGCAAAAAATGTTGATGAGCAAGTTTATGTAACTTTTAACGCCAAGATGCCAAACATTTGCTGGTTAACGCTTCTCAGAGGTCAGGATTTTGTAGTTTTCATCCACCATCTTGACATTTTATAAACTTATTAATTAAATTAATAGTTCAGGATATAATATTTCGGGCAAATACACTGCGTTAAATGTGAGAAGATTGATACCACTCTTGTGTACACTACATATGAAGATAACTTTACCAGGGTCATCAGCTTAGTTTGGCATAAAGACTGGGAATCCTGGGTCTGCTTCCAGTCTCTATGCTAAAATAAGCTAATCGCCTGCAAGTTTCATACTTAGTGTATAAAGAGTGGCATTGATCTTCTCATCTAACTCACAGCAAGTAAGCAAATGGGTGTATTTGCCCAAAATATTGAGCTATTGCTTCAAATCAGTCAGAAAAAAAGTTCTGTTGCAGTCTGGTTGCAGCTTACACTCAGCTGCTTTGTATGAACGCCACTATACCATCATGATCATCATCATTAGACTCTGAAGAAGCTGGTTAGCTTTCCTTGACCAGCTATCAGCTTCTTCTTACCCGGGGCCTTGCTCACAGTCTTGCCAGGCATTTTGAGTGAGGCACCAGTGGGCGCCTTCTTCTGTGGAGGCTCATTCTCTGATCCTCCATGTTGGTCAGAATCCACCTGCTTCCTCTTGTTGCCTTTGTTCTGCATCTGAATGCTAGTTTTCTTTCTATTGCCCGGGCCCGCAGCTCTGTTTTGGGCATTTCCACTTCTTTGTCCAATAGCAGCCCCCCGCCGCACGTCGCTCTGCTCCTTATTTTGACATTCAGAGGGAGGCTTGGCTGGAAAGATTGAAACAAAGCAAAAGCAAGTGTGACAAGCTGGTAGAAAAAAAAAACAAAAAAACAAAGGGGAGTATGTTGTGACGAAATTGCTGACGTTAGCTGCTAGTTGAAGCAGGCTGTGTGTGTTTATTCTATGAAGCTGAAATTTAACATTTGTCATGTAACCTGATGGAGCGGAGCCTGAATTCCCACGGAACAAAAGACAGAGGGGGAAATGGGCAAAAAGTCTGTGTGAGTGTGTGTGTGCTTCTTGGTTTTTACTACAGATGTGGGTGTGAGCAAGTTTTATAGAATGGGGATTCATTTAATGGTTGATGGTAAGCACCAGTCCCAGTGCTGGGACTGTGAAGGGTTCAAGGCTGGAGCTGAGAAGGTGTGCCTGGGCCTCAGTCCAGCTGTGTGGCGTCAGAGGAAACTGAAATCTATCCCCGGCAGAAAGAGAACGCTGCGCCGCTTGTGTTGACATTTTGAGCTTTTCTCCGCATGCAGTGGAGCACATTAAAAGTAGCTGTAGGATCGGATGAAATGAAGGTTGAGTCTGTACCTGTGGTTGTCTCCTCCACATCCTCATCTACAGCTGGGATGATTTTGGGTGCTGGGTGCACACAGGTAGGGACCTGGCTGGTGCTGGGGAACTCCAGTACACGGTTGAGTGGCAGTTCTTCATCTTTGTATGTGCACGCAAACTGGGAACGAACGACTCTCTCTTTGGCCTGGAATGAAAAGGGGGGGAAAACCCTTTAATGCAACTGATATGATATGGTAACATGGTGGATGATTAGTATCGATGACTCCGGGTAGATGGATTGGGTTCCAGCTTTTACTTTGAGGTTTGGAACAAAACAAAAAAAAACCCACAGGGGATTGCCAAAAAAGGGCCACCCACACAAAGAATGATAACTATAACAACAACTATAAATACATCTTTTTACCACAACTATAACAAGAAGGCAGGGGCGAACAATATTGTCGGGATCACTTTCAGAGCAATTTGATGAACAATATCGTGGTATACAACTTATTAAATGCTTATATAACATTATTTTAGGCTTCAAATCACAACATTTTACCTACTACTGCTACACAGTCTTTGGCATTGATAAGAAATGAGAAAGAGCCAGGCCTTATTAATAGTGTTTCAGACTCATCTTTTCTGCTGTAATTAGTTAACCTATATACAGTACATTCCTGTATTGTTTGACCACGTGGCTTTTTACATCGATTAGAGGCCACCTGACGATTGCCTCAGTCATTGATAAAGGTTTATGAATCATACATTCGTCCAACTTTACACCACTTTAAACAGGAAACAGTTTTATTCAATCTTATCACAATTACACGTCTAAGACAGTAGTACAGCACCTCATTAAAAAGCCTTTTCGGACTACAATCCTGGCCCTGGGGCACACAGATCTACAGCTTTTCATCCACTGTTTGATCTACGCCTGCTTGGGATTATCACAATCCAAGGATTTCACCCTTCAGGCCAGTGGGCCACAGTAGGGAGGAGAAATCTGAGGGAAAAATACAGCGAGCAAAGCTGGGTGGGTCCGTAAAGCACAAAGGGATCAAAGCCTTTGTGCATTTCAAAAGAACTTCTTAAAAGAGCACCTAAAACAACAGTAACTATAAGAATGAGGCACACTTCAATAATGGAGCTAAAAATGTATGCTGCTCTGGTTGCATGCTAATAAAACATATCTGACTCCCCAGAAACAATGGGAGGGGATGGAAGAGTGAACACAGCCAAACTATGACTGACGGAGAACATCTAATCCAATTACAACAGGTGGAAGCCCAACGTGGCACCGTGTGGTCAGACAGCCCTCATTCCTCTGAAGATGGCTGTCCTGAAAAAACCCCTGTGCACCGCCTGACCCAATGCTGGAGACACCTGACCGAGACATTCCTGATAATGCTTCCAAAAGCAGGTGCAAACAATTTCTGTGGCTTTATGTTTTGATACGTGTACTCACGTACATGATAAAAGTGAGAACAGGTGCACCGTGACCATCATCACCATCAGGCCGTGATACAATCAGCCTTGAGATAAAAATGCATATAACTGTAGTATTATAATGCAATCAAATGCATCTTTTCACAGACACCATTACTGACATCACAGGGGAGCAACACTAAATTGGTGTTTTAGTGAAGTTTTTTTCTGTTTAGATCATCTGTGGCTCAGATTTGGAAACGTCCCAAAAGCAGAAACTAAATCTGTCCATCTCTGTGTGTGCCAGTTGACGTCAGTGCATGATGAAACCGCTGGAGAAGTCTGGGATAAAGTCATTCAGCAGACAACAGGAAACAATAACCTTTCAAGTTTCCCTTGCTAGTCGAATTACGCGACTGATATGGCATCTTCAAAGTGAAATTGATGCAGAAAGCTTCCGCTCACCGAGTTCAGGAAGCGGTGAGCTGCCCAGGGACCATTACAGCGCACTCAAACAGGAAGGCAGCCAGATTGTGGGGAGCTAAAATGACATCTGCTAGCGCAATCAAATAAAGGAGCCATTTCACAAAATGTGTTTAGCATACATGTTCAAAAAGGAGTTCACACAATGGAGCTACTTCATGTTAAAAAGGTCCTACCTTAAAATCTAAAGCTGGTCCTGTCACTGTTTTGGGGTGACTCAGCAACGGTGGTGTATACAGCGGTGGACAAGTACTTGTAACAGGTTACAATACCACACTGTAAAAACACTAAGTTAAAGTCCTGCATTCCTAATTTTACTCAAGAAAAGTGGGAAAGTATCATCAGCAACATGTATGAAGGTATCAAGAGTAGTCAAGTACTCATTAAAAAAAAAAAAAAGGTGCAGAACAGCTGTTTCAGAGCAATATTATATAATTGGATTATTATAACTGATTAGCATCATAAAGGTTTAAGCTTGGCTTGCCTGGCCAATACTGGGGGTTTGAAACCAGTACTGATGTTGATACTTGGCAGTTTAAAATAATAAAAAATATATATATTGGCCGATTGCAACGCAACATAAGCAAAAAAAAAATCTTGCAACGCTGTTGCACTGTGGGTAAAACTGCTGACAACTTGGCTGGAGATTCAGGTGTGTTATGGTAGAAGCGGCTAATGTAGTCTTGAGCTGCTAGCCTCGAGCAGAGAGGACAACTACGGAGCTACAGAGTTCTTGTAAGCTAATTTCTTTCCAACTCCACACCTTTTTTTCATTTTCAGATTTCTTCGGCTCCAACCGACTCTGACTCAAGTGACATCACTTTTTTGTGTGGCTCCCTCTGGAGGCGTTATATGGCTTTTTGAACATATGCAGCAGTGCTCCTCAACACCTGTAAACTAGACTTTGATGTGTAAAATTGGTGGGATTCCCCTTTAAAAAAAGAATAAAGTGACAAAAGATACATGCTGAGTGCAACATTTTACAGTTGAAAAACCAACTCGTCATATGTAATGGCACTAAATTACTTATCTTTCCACTTTAGTAGGTTTTTTTTTTGGGGGGCTCCGAAAAACTACAGTATCGGTCGGGCTATAGGTTTGAAAAGTAGCATAAAATGGAAAAACTTAAGTACAAGAACCTTAAAATAGCACTTAACGGTACAGCACATGAATAAATATACAATTATGAAAACTGCGAGCGATAAATCAAGAGTCGAAAAGAGATGAAATTGCAAACTGCAACAACAAAAGCACACAAACAGTAAAGTCAGTAAACTCAATGGCAACAAAGGTTGTGTAATCATAATGAGACAGATTCTCTTAACGCTGACCCAGAAAACACTGGAGGTAAAAACAGAACAGCTGAGCTCACAGCCAGGAAGGAAGGATGGAAGGAAGAGGTATCAATATCGGATACACAGCGTGTTGTATAGTGCACTGTAAGCAAATGGACCTGAGCCCTGACAATAGCACAACTTATCATCAGGATTGGTTAATGGTTTGAATCCCCCACGAATAAGTCGTTTTATGCCATGGATTTAAACAGCACCCTCAAAACAACACTAAGAGCTAAAACACAGCTGTGCAAACGGGAACGATGGAAGTCAGTTAAGATGTGCGCTTCAGCTAAGAAAATAAATAATATAATACCAGGGAGAAATTACAGGATGTAAAGACATTATTTTCAATGTTTGTACATCTGATTCAATTTGAAGTAACTGATGGTTTGGATTTGGGGCTCTTGGATGAAGGGGCCCACGTTACCTTGGGTTTGAGCAGGTCTAGCCGGCTCTGGACTCGGTTCCGTAGAGGTTCTGGAGAACATCCAGTAGACACTTCAGGGGATCTGAGGGGCGAGCCACAATGAGAGGCAAAGACAAGAGGTTTATAAATTAGTAAAGCTAGAAGCTAACCAAGAAATCTGCCCATGGCTTCTTAAGAACTCTGTTCTCTCTTTATTGCAGCTTTACACAACATGTAAAAGATGTTTTCACTAGCGTCAGACTGAACTGATATTGGGCTTTTGCAACAAACTGGATATCAGCCATTCAATGTCATCCACCTCAGACATAATGTAGGTTCCCCCCAGACCACAGCCACTGGCTGTTTTTTTTATGTTATTATTTTTATTTCAGATGTTTGACCAGAGAAATTGTTCCAGAGTGGTGTGGGAGGATTTTCCTCCATATGGTTTCAGGGGAGGGTTGTAGAGTCTCTTGCTGGTCTAATTGCAGTTTTAGGGGCTTTCCCACTCTAGACTGAATCCTGTGGTAGTGACAATGCTCAAATCTAGTAAAATATTAACTTTAAACTTACTAGTGTTTACTTGACCCCTGAAGGACGTGATCGTGTGCGTAATTGCTGCAGAGTGCTCCCCAAAGTACGAAAGAACCTTTTTGGTTGGTTGGACGCAGCATTCATTGTAGTACGTGTAGCAGCGTACCACAAAAGAAACAATATAAGAAGATGAACTCCTTGTGTGTATATATATGGGCATGTGAAGGCAGGAAATTGCTAGCGGTCCACACATGTCCACACGTGCTTTATTACATCCTCGGATGTAATAAAGCATTTACATTAATTATAGACCCGTCGACAGATAGTATTGGACAAACTAAAACTTTGACTTAAAGATGGCGCTAGAATAAAGGTTAGGGGGATCCGAAAAGTTATTACAATTCATCCTGAGGGGAACATGGATGTCGGAACCAAATTTCATCATAAATCATCTGATAGTTGAGACATTTCACTTAAAACTATCTCAACCTCATGGTGGTAGAAGAAAACAGATTACATCATCTGGGGAACATGAATGTGAGTACCAAACTTCATGGCAATCCACCCAACAGACACAGACAACCCTTATGAAAACACAAGCTCCCTTGTTAGAAACAGAAATTATTTTTCAGTCAAATCCCAGTTTGCACTGCAGGACTGTTTGTGCCAACCTGAACAATGTGAGGATGCTGGTCCCCTCGGCTTCACTGAGGACGGGCTGGTCCTCAGACAGCAGGTCTGCCTTGTTCTGACACAGAGGAGTCAACGCTTCTTCATCCAGCAGAGCCATCAGCACCTTCACAGTGTCCCGACCTCCGTACGCAGTGGCATGATTGACTGCGTAAGCCTTTGGCTGGAGAGGAACGGCAACACAAATACAATCAGTGCACTCACAAAACTGACTGTTAAAGAAGATGAAGTGGGTTTTGTGTAAATGTGTGGACTTCAGGAGAAGCCAAAACTGTAGCCGGCTGGCAGGAGAGCAGAGATTATACATTACCCTGGCAGGGCTTATCCCCGTCCCGCTTCCATTAGCAGTCTGTTTCTGGATCTGGTGTAGCTGGCAGATCCTCTCCTTCAGCTCCTTTGTCGTCTCCTCGGCAGCGACGTACACCACATCTCCGCTGCTGCGTCCCTTCACCAGCGCTGCCCTGATGGCAGTCACCAGCCTGGCTCCACATACACTGAGAACCAAACACAGTGACAGTCACATTGACATCTGCTGAGACAGCTGTAGGTAGAGGAACATAAAAAAAAAACGACCTGAATTTGTTTTGGAAAGAAAAACTCTTTTCTTCTGCAGAACACAGACACAGACACACACAGGTTTTCATCTGGATGGAATTAATAGTGTTCAAGAGTTCAGCCAATATTTGCCAACATGAATAACTCTCTCCTAAAACTGAAAACCCAGAAAAGCCAGGGCCTTCGTCTGAATGTCTTCAAAAGATATACTGCAGCGTCACTTTCAATTAATTGGACACTGACTTTAAGGGCTCAGAGTAATTGTTTCGGTGTTAACATCCAGTTGAGCTTTATTTCACTGTAACGCAGCTTTGCCAATGTTAACAGTTATGAAGCAGAAAATATGCTCCAAATCCATGTTAAAGTCACCCTGGGCACTGTCACTGCTCTCACCGATGGACTGTCAGCAGAGAAACTCCAGGATTTTCCCTCTTTATAGAGCAGGAATTTTCGCGCCATGCTCGCACACCGTCCGCGCTGCGTGTCCAAAAATCATAGCAACATATCACTTCTGTAGGTTTCTAAACAGTCAAGTGCACTAAAGCATGCTAGAAGAGATCGCAGTAAGGTAAAGAGGCGGTGGTCCAACCCTGACCCGGCTCTGATGTGAGCGAGCAGGGTTCAGTAACAGAATCATTTGGGAAAACAGATGTTCGGCGAGCAACGGGCCCTGAACTCTCCGTAGAAGGTGTTTGTATGAGGAAATACAGTACTCCACTGAGAGAGTAAAGGCACTGCCTGTTGAAAGACACATGTTGGCCCGGTTTGTCAGTGTCTCATCAGCCTGCATGAACTGAAAACCCTCAGAAGAGCAGCGAGGGTCGAATCCACTACTACATAAACATCACAATGAGTTGTTATGGCTCGCTCGAGTGGAGCTAACGTCGCTACTGGGACCGCTACAAAGGGTGCCTTCAACAGCTTCACCTCAAAGCTCAACCCTCACACGACTGAACGGCTAAATCATTTCTGATAACCACTTCTGTTGTGGTGCCAAATGCTTTGACATCCAAAATAATCTGTAATGGTATGGGGAATGATCTGTGGAGTGATGATAATTCATCAAAGAAAGAGCTCCAAACAGGGAACACGTTATTTAACAGAGACAGGCTTTGATGTAGCAAAGATGAACATGCTTTAGCAATCCAAGTGTTATCATGAGTAGCTTAGATGGGAGTCATTACAGGGATTTGAAGGAAATAACAAGCTGCAATGGGACAGGTGGATTTTATGATCACAGGTGATTTCGGTGCACAGGTGTCTGCCAGGCCGATACGCGCAGCTGGAAATATTCCTACCGGTAGTAGCGGCAAGGAGCTCAGCTCAGCTTTCAGAATTTTATTTCAATTCATGACAATCAGCCAGACCAGGGAGGAAACAGAATTTGACCTGAACTTGAAATTGCAGGAAGAAGTGAAGCAATTCAAAGAAAATCCCTCTCAGTCATAAATCACAAGTTTCATTTAATGTGACCTCCGTCACTGCCAGATACTGTAGAACTTTTCTTGGAATCTCTGAATTCCCCTAATCTGCTCAAGATGATTTCTCTGGGATTGAAATATGTTTATATGAGGATTAGACTACAATTAAGTAAATATGGGGTTTTGTAAAGATGTTTTATTTGAAATGGAAAGTTGCTTGTACTTGCATGCTTAGGATTAGCTACTACAAATAAGTGATTTATGCCTGACTGAAGAGTGAGTCAACTGAGTAAAGAAAGAAAGGCTGTAACCGTCAATATTAAAAGAATACAGCTATCACTGCTTCTAAAGCCCATAAAGTGATGATTATATATCTTGTTTACCTTTTTAATAACCCTTTTAACCTTCATGTCTGTACACTTATTATGCAGAGCAACTACCTGATTAGCTCAGCTTAGCATAGGAGATAGAAGCTGGGAGTAATGGCCAGATTTTTCTTTATGAAGTGATAATTTATCATCATTTAGAGGTGTTTGTAGGTATAGTTTTAAATCTTTGAACAGTACCAGGCTACCATGCTAGCCTTTTCCCCTGGCTTCTGTTTGTACACTAAGCTAAGCTAATTGTCTCCTGGCTGTAGCTTTATAGTTAGCCCACAGACATGACAATGGTGGTGAACTTCATCTATCGTTCTGCAAAAGAAAGTGAGCCAAAATGTCAAACTACTCCTGAAATGAATAGTAGTTTGATATCTACAAAACATAACAATATATACTGTAAAATAAAAGATGAGTAATTTGTATTTTAAGTCATTCACTTCTACTCCCTTTGTCTAAAATTTGAATTGCAACTCTGTGACACTTTTACAACGTCAATTAAAATTTGATTTAAACTTAAAAGCTCAACTGGAATCCATCAAGAATTTACAGTTTAGCCCTGAATGGAGCACATCCCCGGCATCCCAGCATTTACAGCGGATTCTGTCACAAGCAGGGAGGCATTACCTCAAAAGCAACAGTAAGACAGGGAGCGAGTGGAAGCCTGGATTAAGCTGCATTGTGTACCTTGGGTCAGGAATCTCCCCCAGTATTTCTTCCAGGTTGTCTAGAAACTGGACAAAGTCAGACAGGCCTTTGACATGTTTCCTCAGTGGGTCGGACTCAGCTGGAGCGTAGCCCTTCCCTCCCAGCTGGATGGCCCTCACAAAAGATGTCACAGCCTGCAAAAGCACGAAAAAGACCCAAATGTTGCACCAGAGAGGATTACCCCGTAGTTTTGTTTTTTCTGGTGATGTAAAGTGTGAATACATCATCATGCTGAGTTTGGATGTTTCTTACCAAGAAGAGAGAAGTGTTGTCTTTGCGTGCAGCATGCTTTATGTCGGTAAATGCTTGTCGTCCAAGAGAGCGACTGGGGACGTCCAGGGTCAGCGCCAAGGCCATGTCGTTCTTGGAGTTCACGAGCAAATTCAGATAGGAGCAGAAAACCCTCCTCACTGCCATTTTCATCTATAGATAATAAATAGAATAAACACGATTTTAGTACAACAACATTATCGTTTTAGGTTAGAGAACATCTTTAAGAAAAAGGTCCAATGTGTCACATTTAGGAGGATCTATTGGCAGAAATAGAATATAATAATATTCATTGGCATGTTTTCATTAGTGTATAAAAATAAGATTTTATCTGAGCCTTCGGGGTGCCTTCAATGGAGCTTGCCATGTTTCTACGGTAGCCCAGAAGGGACAGACTGAACACTGGCTCTAGGCAGGGTGGTTTTTCAACGCCACCGTAGCTCATGCTTGGAAGGGGAGGGTGAAGCAAGGAGTTACAATCTGCAACTACACTGCTAGATGCTGCTAAATCCTACACACCTTTACCTGGACGTTTAAAGAAAAATCACAAAGACTGGAAACAGGTTTAAGCAGCTATCCTGGCTCTAGCTCAAAGCTAATAAATCTAACACATTATATGTTGTTGGTTTAATCCAGGGATCTCAAACTGTCGGCCTGGGGAGCATTTTGATTTGAATTAAAATGAAAACATAAATATACATTCAGTAATAAAAAATAATAATAGCAAAGGTCAAAGGTTGAAAGCGGGTTTCAGGCCTTCATTTATTTGTTAGGCTGCAAATAATGAAGATAAAATTATAATATAAAATTAATATATAAATGCATTTTTATGTTAAGTATGATGTTAAGGATGGAAATATTTTCAGAATATTGCGCTTTCTTGTAGTGCTTGAATGCTGAAGTGGCGCTCCTAGGAGATGACAATACCAGCAGTGGCCCCAAACCAGTTTGAGCTTGGGACCTTTGGTTTAAAATCAGTACAAAATCTGAAATGTAAAAATTACAGTTCAAGACAAGAAGCTGAAAATCCAGTAAGTTAACGCTCCCAGCCAAGTGTAGATTAAACAGAGAAGATATATGTTAATTAGTGAGCTTTAGGGGTGTTTGAAGGGGTATTTTGTGAACTTTATATAGAGCCAGGCAAGCCATTTGAGTTATGAGTGTGTTATTGGTTTTCTTGACAAATTCGCCACCAGAAAGCGAATCAGCATATTTCCCAAAAAGTCAAACTATTCCTTTAATAAAACCTTTGGCTTGAGGCCAGTCCAGGTTGTGTTTATAAACTACCAAAAAAATAAAAAAGTAGCTTTACTGCCTGTAAAACCCACTAAAAACAGCAGCTGACAGCCTGTATTAAACTCCAAAAAATTACATCACTCTAGCTGGTAGAGCAGCAGCAAGCCTTTACTGAAAACCCATAAATTCACAAGTGACAGAGAAAAGTGGAGAAAAGAGACTCTGCTACAGAAGCTCCCCCACATTGTGTTGTGTTTTAAACATCTGCCTGGTAATTGAATTCACATTTCGCTCCTAAATCTAAGGGATGTGATATAGAGTTCCTGTCAATAAGAGCAGGATGGATTCCAGACAGAAATTGAGCACGATGAAGACTGGGAAAGTAAATGCAGATTATTGCCAGCAGGAAAAAAAGCATTTAATTTTCCTGTTAAAAAACAAAACAAAAAACTTTATAGGGTAGAGGGCAAAGTGGAAAGAGGGGTTTGTTAAGGTCGTTTATGAAATAAGTTGCACCTTTTTTATTAGTGTATGAAAGCAGGACCGGGCCTACCTGTGAGCTGCAGGGCCTGCTTTTACTAGATGGTGTTGATGGGACTGAGGAGCCTGGCAACTCTGAGACCTCCATGTTGCCCGATAAGAACTCAAACAGCTGGATCTTGGCAAAAGAATACAAAAAAAAGCAGAGATAAATTGATTCATCTCTAACTCGGTAGCCAATCTGATCATCCACAATCAACATCATCAGCCTGATTTCAACCAGCTCTTGCTTACCGGGCTCACAGGCTCCTGTGGGTCCGAGTCCACTAGTCTCAGCTGTTTGTACATGGAGAGGATATCAACCAGGTCCACAGTGTTGGAGCGCTTCAGGAAGGATTCGTATGCCTCCAGGATGAGATCATAGTTCTCCAAGCGTGCAAAGTTGGGGGGTGGCAGGTGAAGTTTGTCTAACAGTAAGTGTTTCCAGGCCATCAGGACATCACTCAGAGCCACTTTGAACTCTCCGCCGTGCTGTCACAGGAAGAGAGAAAACAGTGAAAGCAGCAGCCATAATTACAGACGGCCTGGAACCAATCAGTTCAAAAGCAGAAAGACCTTCTCCCACAGTCCAAAAAGTGGGCCGTGAGTGGTCTCAGCCGGAAATCTGCGGTAATGTCATCAGTTATAGACATGATGACGGTCAACCTGATGGTTCAATTGAACTACGCCATGATGATGATGATGAGAATTTGGCTCGTACAGCCTCGTTTTTGGGCCACCCAATAACTTACAGAAAAAACACAGTGACCCGTTTTATTCCTGAGAGTATTTTAACTTTCCTTTATTTGTTGGTTTACATCCCTTCGTTAAAAAGACCACCGATTGCATGGTTTTGTTAGCCTTTAAAATGCTCGGTTTACCTTGTTCAAAGATTTATATGACTTGCACCTTTTAACGTAATGTGACTGTGTGGTGTAGATTTGTCATTTTCATTATTTCACATATCACATTTGTATATTTAGACTTTTTTTTTTAATGTATGTGAATAAAACTGTTACCTGCTTATTAACTTCTGCCATGACCAGCTGCAGAATCATCAGCATCTCATCAGCTCCTTGAATGGTGGTCCTCTCAGACTTTAAAACACCATGGCACTCTCTCCTGAAGATTTTAACCATCACCTTCAGATGGTCTCCCAAAGCCTCCATTTTCTCCTAAAACAGCATTAAAGGGATTAACCAAGGGTTTACTGCAGAAAGCCAACAAATACCCACACACAATTTCACATTCAAGGAGCAAAATAAATGCATTTGAGATAAAATTAAACACAATAATCTTTGAACAAGTTGCAACGAATTCACGCTCGTTGGCCTGGGTGGCACAATGGCACCGAGATAACTTAACTTACAGTCACAACGTGTCTTTAAACCAGCTTTTCCAAGATACACACGTATAAGATAAAGTGCCCCTATGTTTATGGCTACACAAAAATCACAATCAATCTTTATTTAATGGTGCAAACCTCTAAGATTGTAGTTATCTCCGAGAAAACACGAACACGACAAAAAAAAAAGCAGCTGTTCAAATTTTAAATTGCCGATGACGTTTATGGCTGTTGACCAATCAGCTTGTAGTAGCCAACAATGGGCGAGGTGCAATAAAAAGTGTTTATCTCCTGCGTTATTTTGTCATAAGTTCGTGGCGGGATACTGGGAAGTATCTTTTAGAGCATGTTAATCTTTGTAGCTCAACAATATGTCGATATATCGCGAATTTAGATACATGTTTTCATTTACGGTTGCGCGAAATCCCCCTTCACATTAGTGCCCAATGGTTCAGTCCACGTCGAACCCGGAACGAGCTCGAAAACATTTCCAACGCGCGCACCATGTGATTCAAAGAAATACTTAAAAATAAAGTGATAAATATATCAGCCAGTGCGGTATTACGAATCGGAATAGACTCTTATAACCAAGAGGTAATTAATATGTTGGCAGTCTGAGCGTTAAACCGTAAAACGGGGCAGTATAAAGGTTTGTTTTGGCTCGCTGGCTGTGAGCCTGGATACGAGCTGTTCCTACTTTAATGCCACACTGTCTTTATTCAGGTTGTTAGACGCTGTCTGGCTTAACAGTGTATCTATTAATGTGTGAGGTATATTAAACCCGAGTTAAAAGTCTAATGCTAAATTCGGCATCTGTAATCTACTTGGATCTGTATTGCTTCATTGTGACAATATTGGTCTTAACCTACCTCTAATTCTGACCTGTAGCTCTCAATGAAGCATAATCTCAAATAAATCTCTGCTTTGTGTGTTTGATGTTTGCCGAATTGAAGGGTGACCGATATATGTTAGTAAAAATACCCACATTCTGCCCTACTAGATATGCATGCCTCTATACCTGCTATAATATATTAAACAAGCAAATTTCTGAATGGAATTTGGTCTGACTCTCCAAGCATTGAGAGAAATGTAAGTCATACTTTGTGAGGGTGTCTGATTTTAATGCCATTTACCTTGAGCAGTCAGGATTATGTCATATTGTGTTTTGAGCATATAGTCTATTGTGATATTTATGTTATAATATAGTAAATAAAAGACAGGAATCTCTGTTGTTGGCTAACTCAGCTCAATTAAAGGCAGTGAACTTGTACAAACCAACAGCTGGATGGTATATTGTCATATTATCAGTCTACCTGAGCTCAAGTTAATGCCTAATTATATTCAGTATCAACTGATTTATTAAACAGAGGTATTTTTTTTTTCACAGTTCACAGCTCTGATCTGAAGTCAGCTTTACCAGGATACCCAGCATGCAGGAGGACTCGAGCCGCAGTCCCAGTTACACGGTGGCGTGTGAGGACTATGTTCACGTGGTTGAATTCAGTCCTTTCAGCTCTGGCACCCCTGCCTCTCTCCTGGCCTACGGTGGAAACCAGTATGTGGTAGTGGGCACCTGCCTGTTCCAGGTTAGAGATGCAGCATCACACAACGTGCTTTAAGTACAGTAATGCCCAGTATATTATTTTCTGAACACACACCTGTTCCCACAGGAGGAGGATATGGAGGTTGAAGGAGTTGAGTTCAATGTTCTTCGAGCTTTCCATCATGAATTGCGCGTCGATGCTCTCGCCTGGAGCCCTGAGTCCCGACTGGACAGGTTACCCACTATCAGGTACTGCTACTTTGATTCCAGCACCTTTTTGGTCTTTATTATGTTTCCACCAAACTGCATGGTGCAGGACAGTATGGGTCTGTCTGTCTGTCTGTCTGTCTGTCTCTTGACAGTAAACTCTGACTGTAGATTGAGTAGATTTTGAAGCACCTATTTACATAAATCATAAACTGGGGTTAGGCAGTATATTGTTTCTGCATCAAAATTGTAGTATAGATAGATAGATAGATA